TTGGCTTTAGAGTCATGAAGACTTAATTCTGTGCAGTTTCATAGTTTCATTTGTAGGGCTGTCTCGACTTTTTTTTTTTAGAATTCAAATCTCTTATTGCATATTTCTTATTGAAATGCTAAAGTAACTGCTCCCAATTCTGTCCTTTCTACGTCTTGTCTTGGAAATCTTCATTAATTATATATATTTCCTTAAAATCACAATTGTGGATCAGTCTCCTTATTAGGATTTGAACTCCCACATGACTTGATGAGCTCTGAGGACCATGAAAATGAACACTATTTGGCTTCTTTTGGGAAGCCTATGTGGCAGGTTACCAAATTTTTCAATCATTATTTACTTATATCTAGAAACAATTTTAAAACATAGTTCTCAACAATAAGAACAAACTCTATAATATCTATCTCTATAGGCTTTTATTTCTATCAGAATTTAAGCAGGCAAAATTATAGCATTAATTTGCAAATACATTGTATTTTTAGGACAGTAACTTATTTTCAGCAACCAAGTGCTGACAACTAGAAATAAGTCTGAAATCAAAAGATACTAAAATAACATTCTGGAGAGAATATGCTTAGTCTTTTGAGCACACTTTTTACTGAGAGTCCCATGAAAGTTGCTTCTGAATGAATGCTCAGAACTTTCTCATCCATGATACTTATAATATCATGGGATAACAGAAGCCTAAAATTATGTTTCCGATTCTTAGTTTAACTCAGCATGACGTCTCAGATGAACAGATAATTGTCCAAGATGTGGTCCACAACAGTGACTGAATTACAGTCCTGGGCTTGCACATAACCTTACCATTCATATTCCCCCCTGTGACTTTCTGAGACTATAAACTCTCCATGTATGTAAGTTTCTTCTAACACTTCTAATACGTTCAACTGATTGCATGGGCAGTCATGAGTGAGAATGAGATACTTGTCTTTTTGCTTTTCAGTATTCATTTTCTGGGAAGTAGAGAAGACTACAGCACAAAACTAGAGCACTGAAAACTGAGGGCTGGTAGTCAGAGGCAGTGCATGAAACATACTCATTGGAGGTTTTAGCCTGAAAGGTTTGGGCCTCCTTTTGCTTGTCACTGTTGCTTTTTCTGTGAGTGCCAACATGTAAAAATAGCTCAGAGCCTTGCTTCAGATCTATAACATCTCAAATAAAGCAATATTTTCTATTCTGAAAACTTTCCTAATCAGAGAGTCACAGCAACTTTAAGGACTCAAGTGGAAATATAGCTTCTCTATGGTATTTGTCTGGCCCTGTCCCCGCACAAGTTCAAAAGTCTGATCCTCTCTTGGATATATGTGCTATATGTATCTCCTTTTAGGGCCTGTGAGTAAAGTCCATCTGTTACACATCTCCAGAGGTGACCTAGGGAAGTTATGTTTAGAAGGCAAGCTAAGGGTAAATAGCTCACTTAGTTCCAATAATAATGACAAAAGACATTAGAGTCTCATTTGTAACAGTTATACATAGCAGGTGCTTTTGGATCATACCTAATAGAGGTGGGATAAATAATAAAGTGATGGGAATATTTATTTGGGACTGTTTTACTAAAAGACATTAGTATAGTGGCTTGTCGCAAAGAACTCTCATTTGCAGACAATTTACTTTCATAGTCCCATAGAAAGAAACTTGACAAAAGATAACTTTTGGGAGGTAGGGTAACTGTGGATTATAGGATTTAGATTTAGATTTGAATTTTGGATAAATCACCCATCCAGCCATAAGCCATAATATCCTTGAACAACAACACAACAGCATAAATGAATATAATCTGTCTCCCTTGGGCTACTGGGAAGACTGAATAGGAAGATCCTTGTGAAAGTGCCAAGCACAATGTTTGGCTACATACATGTTAGCATCTGTGCCTTCAGTGTTACTGAGAAAAGATTTCAAGTTCTCTTTCTTTTATTTACAACTTTATTTGACATAAAGTTGGAGTTGAGAAATTTATGAAAAGTTGCATTCATTTTGTAACGGTTACTTTGGCTGTTTGAATGTATTTATTCATCTTTTTGCTATAAGTCAGCATACTTTTGGGACTCTGTTTTTGCCACAAAATATTCTATTTTGTTTAATAACGTGATATATAAAATGACAGGGTAAACTTTGACAAAGTCATTTGTATAATTATAATTTTCAAGCATGAAACTTATCTGGTTTCAGTGGAAGAATAAATGTTTCCTAGTTTGCTTGTAAGTATTCAAAAATTTATGTTGGGTCAAAATAAGATTTGCCCCCCCAAACCCAGCCATGATTTGTCAGCTGATTTTGATATGTCACTTTTGTGAGAGACTATGCCTCATGGAATATTGAGGACTGCTTTTATCTTTTTCTTTCTTTCTTTTATTATTTATTTATTTTTTGATGGTACTCAAGGCCTCATGCTTGCTAGGCAGGCACTCTTACTTGAGCCACTCCACCAGCCCTCAATGACTGATTTTTGTTTGCTGTGGCATCACAGCTTCTGCCTTTATCATATGACTAAAGGCAGCTGATTATATAATAATGATATTATTATATATAATGAAATTAATTATATATATATAATAATATATTATATATATTATTCATAATAATAATGAAATTAATTAATATATATATAATGAAATAATGATTCATTATCATTTTGAGCAAATCATGAGACCTTCATATAATTTAATGCTTTTTAAAAAACAAAAAGTACAAGTTAGGTTTGAAAATAACTCAATTACTTGTAACAGGAAGTGAGTTGGCATTTCCCCCAAATATATTGGAACAATTTAGGGAAAGCAATTCTGAAATGTCAGGAACAGTTATTCTGGAAAGTTGACATCTAAGTAACAAAAATGCGAAAGTGCTTGTATGTTTTGTTTATTCCTATTTTCATTGTATACATTATGCTGTTTTCCAGAACACAGGCTGGGTGAATTTCTAGGTGGATAGGCGGAACCTACTTCCTTTTCTGCACTAATTCCCATGAAGAGCTCATGACTTGACCTTAAGCAGACTTTTGGAGAAGGCCAGCTCTGTCAACATCATAGCTCTTTCTGTGTTGAGTGTTCTCGTACACTTGAATGGCTTTAAGAAAGAACTAAGAAACACTGTCAATGACCTGAGGGAAGCACAACTGTCATGTAGGGATTCCCACACCATTTGGAGTGAAATCCAGGTTCCTGACTCCAGCTAACAGCTACTTACTCTCTTCCCTTTACTCTTTCACACTACCTGTTAGCCATGAACCCCAGTTCTAGAACATGACATCTTCTTGCCCACCTGAGTGCCCTGAGCATCCCAGGTCCTCTGCCAAAGTGCCCCTTTCTTCCATCTTCACTTGACCACTTCTTCACTTTTCTCAGCTTCTTCGCCACTCCTTTTCTAGCCAAAAAGATAAGGTTTCCCTTCCTGATCTATCTTAAAAGTTCTGTTCTTTTCCCTTCACGTCATAATTCAAGTTAAAATTAAGCTTATTTATTGGATTTCGATTCTCCACTAAACAATGTACATCTTAAAAGCAGGGATTATATCTATTTTGTGCAATAGCATATATCCAGAATTTGAAGTTCCTGAAGCATTGAAGGGACTCAAGAAATAAGTGCTGGATAAATGGGTAAATATAAGGCCAAAGAAGCTCTCAAATCGGTAAGTTAAAAAACTAAATCACATTTAATTTACACCTAATTAATAATCAGTTGCTGTTACACATTGTTTATGAACCTCAAACTTCCTCTTTTTTGCCTTTCAGGATAATTTTGTTTAACCTTATTTCAGGCATTAAATTAAGAAAAGAAACAGACTCGATTTTAAAAAGTTTAGATTTATAAATCTGTGAGAAAAATAAAGTATATTGGAGTTAATATGTCATTAAGTTAGATTTTTGTGTCTAGGAAATTAAACTATATATATACATATATAGTTATTTATAGAGGTATTGGGGCTTGACTCAGGGCCACGTGCTAACTAGGCAGTACTCTACCACTTGAGCCACTCGGCCAGCCCTCAAACAATATTTTTAATGAATCTGGTTACAAATTCTATAAAGTCAAATCTTTCATTACAAATGTTCTTCAGTTTTTAACACAATAAAAGGATCTCTGGAATGATAATAAAAGGAAAAATAAGTGAAGAGGGAAGTGAAAAAATGGAACAGTTTAAGAATTGTGATTTTACTATATGAAATCTAGAAGCAAACATTATTGTTTCTCTGACTTAGATCAGTTAGCTTTTATGTAGCATTTTGAGAATTACAGGAAAAAACAAAGGAGAGCCAAGGCTCCACTCCTGCTTCAACACAATTTAGTTTAGTGCCTTTCATCTCAGATTCTGAATGGATATTCTTCAAAGGCATGTCTCTATTTTATCAATGGGAACTGAAAAGCTGACACGACATTCCATGTTGAGTAAGTGCAGGAATGTATTCACAGGCAATAACAGGTCTCAGCAGGAAAGAAGCCCTGGTCTCAGCTTTTGGTTCACTGCTCTCACAGTTGGGTTCATTCATTAACTTCTTAATTTATTCATTAATATTTATAGAGAGTTTGTTATGGGTCACATTCTGGGGAAGGTCTTGGCAATGCAGTGGTAAACAAAACAGAGATAATCCCTTACACTTTCATGAGAAAGTGTTGATTTCATTGATAAATATGAGACCTACTCTACTTACATTTATTGTTATTTTTGTTCAGTCACAGGATAGGATTGTATCTTCTGTGACTTAACACTCTACATTAAGTAACTGGTTCTCTATTGTTACCCTAGCAACTTAAACGTAGTAATCTTTTCCTTTATTCAGTGGATTTTTTTTTCTCTTTTACATTTTACCATATTCTTTTACTTCTGATTTTATATAGGTAAGTGATAATATATTTATTTAATAAATTTGTTTCTTCTTGACTGCTTGAAACAGCTCCAATATTGGGTCGCATATTAAACAATATTGTAGTCTACTGTTTGTGGATTGAAGTTCAGTCTTTACCCTTCTTGAGAAGACAAACCCTACAAAGTCAAGGCCTTACCTTCCTCCACTGTAACCGTCTGTTCTGAGGCTGGCGATGGTGGTGGAGAAGGAGGCAGATTAGCTGTCTCTTCAGCTGCTGCAGATCAAACAGTGGAGAAATGAGTTATGACAATCATATCAGGCCAGTATGTGTAGGTAGTTCTCCCATCTGCAAAAAGGCCTCTCTAAGAAATTCAGGGGAAGATTCCGTGGTAATCTGCATTTGACTTATTGTTAGGCCCATTACCTGATTCACATATTTTTGACAACCTAAAAAGTAAGATAAGAATTCAGTATTTTTTAAAAGAACATTATGTGTTCTTCATAAAAATGTATTAGATAAATGCTAAAACTGTGTAATTCAACTCATTGTGTCTATTTGTTCAATTAATGATATATTTCATTTTGACCCTAATATATCATGTAGAAACATACCCAGGCAGGTATTTTAGTTTGGATGTGGCTAGCCTGACTTAAAAAAAAAATTTGAATGCTCTGTTGTTCCAACTGCTTGATCTGGAAACAAATGTTACAAATATGTCAGTTTTATTAGCTGACATATTTTTAAAATAACATTTTGCCCCCTAGTCTAATGTCAAAATCTATTTCCTTAATGTATTCTCAGAAAAGAAAAAACGAACTTGTCACAGCCTGGGGAAACTCTCAAACAGAAACAAGCAATGCACTAGTGAAAGCTGAATCATCTTCTGACCTTGGCCTTACATGTGAGGAAGGATCCAGAGACAGGTTTTAAGAGATGTAATTCACTCACAGTTAGCTCTGAGAGCTCCTCCTCAGAACACTTACCTTTGTTATCATCCCTCCTACGAAGGTAAGGAATTTCAAAAGGAAACATGTCCCACTTAAGGCTGGTGGCTAAATCTCTTTTAAAGATTATGTGAATTTCAGTTTCATAAGGCAGTTAATAGAAGTAGCTTTGGATGATAGGTGATGTTTTTAGTTCCTGTGGGGTCTGCATGGCATGTATTAAGATCTTAAATCTTAAAAACTTGAAATTTTCTTTTACTTTAAGTATAGAAGTAAACAATAGAGTGAAGGTTAATGTTTTAGAACATTTTTCCCTCTGTGTTTAAGAGAAAAATAGTCCTTGCTCATGGAAATACTCAATATTAAGGAATACTGAATATAGTCTAAATTATTATTCTGAGAGAGAGAAGAGTTTTTTTTTATTGCTTACTTTTTAAATAGATGCTTGAAGGAGTCCTAATCAGAAAATCAAACATTAAAGATAGGTGAAATTATAAGATAGGAAAATGGATAATGGACTCTTTTTAGGAGTTAAAAGAATGCCTCTTTCTACTAATAAGGTTTATGTATCTATGAAATAAAGAGATATGTTGAACCTAAGAAAACATCCAGTGTGTCTTTTCACATATATGTATATATGTCTACCCGTCTATCAACCAATTGATAACTATGTGTTATCTGAGCATTCTCCTAGGCAATCTGGCACTGGAGGACATTTCATTTGTGACCAAGGGAGAGGGCAGGGCTATCTGTGTTAGTTCTATTAGATGAGCCAAGTGGTCAGTACTTCCTGACGAGTCTAACAAGCCTCTAGCTATAGAGTTTACTAGTTCAGGTAGAGCAAAGCAAGACCATAGCACAGGTAATTATTCTGTGAAACCATAAAAGGAAACAGTCATCTCTAATTGAAATTTTAGTTCATTTTCCTTATGTATAGGGAATCAAGCAACCTCTAACGATCTAAACAAAAGTGAAAAATTAGGGGCCATTAGGGGAACATCTGACTGTAGGCTTGTCACTCTGAAAACTATAAAGATAACCCATGAACCTGTTAGAGAAGGTAAAAATAGGTTCCTTTCTTTCCCTCTAGAGTAAAATGTCACTGTAAGGATAATATACAAGATAGAACCTACTTGTGAACATGCCTCCTAACCTGAGGCCCTTCTCATTTACCTAAAGGCAGAGCTGCAGGCTGGTCTCTGTGCTGGGCTTCTTTCTCTTGTTCACCTTTCAGGACTGCTACAGCCTCAGCTGTGACTACTTGAACTATCCTTGCAGACACCTCCTCTGTAAATAAACATTAAAAGAAATAATAATGAGACGTCCAAACCGGGTAGCAAAGAGGAAAAGTGCAGTACAGTGGATTCGAATTTCATTTTCACTGCCTTCTCCCCCAAAAATACAATATAATTTTTTAATTCCAGATAAAGCACAAACATGCTTACATTAAAAAAACCAAAAAAACCCAAACGGCTCATCACTAAAATCAGTGCAAGAGAGTCTAAAATAACTAGTATGGTGACCTAAAATGGTTTCAACTTGAGCATATCACTATTAATTTTTGTAACCTAGTCAAAAAAACATTATGGAAACGATGGTCTACCTATCATCACCTAAAAAGGAAATTAACTTTTTGAGACTGAAAATATATTCTAGGTTAGAAATAAATTCTACAGAATTTAACATTTGCCATCTCTATATAAGAGTAACTCCCATACTAGGAAATAAACTCATTTATAGCCTTAGTAGAAAGAAGTGTAGAAAACAAGGAAGTGTGTGGACAGATTATTCTCATAATTTTGGTCAAGATAATCTGAATACATTCTTTGTTGAAAATTTATTATGATGCATGATCCAAATTTGCACTTTCACTATCAGACTTGGGGAGATTTCCTCGATTTTAGCTGGCTAGCTCATTTAGATTCTGCCCCCTTTGGAAGACAGCCTTCCTTATCCCATCTAGGATGACCCAGTATAGTGAAAGCAAGTTAAGGGGGATCAGCAATCTGTTTAGATACAACTTACCTAAACTTTAAAGCTTGATTGTAAGCTTGAGTAAATTTGCCTTTATGTGTTTCCCTTCCTGAATTTTTTTATTAGCCACTTGACAATACAAATTCTGAAGGGATAATGTGCAAACACTCTTCTCTAGGTAGCAGTAATAGATACAGAAAATTAAATTCCTTTTAGATTTCTAAATTGCTTAATAATATTACAAAAATAATTTTAGGTTTTGAGAATTGTTACATATATTCATTTTCAACGCAATACGGATTTTTAAAAATCAAGAGTGAGATAGCTTCTTCTAGCACTCTACTGTTTTATGGAAATTTGGGAGCAATAGAGATACAAAGCAAACACAGCAGAAATTAGGGTACACATACAGAGAACCCCTGTGTCTTCTGGACCATCCCTATAAGTTAGAGAAAACTTCACATCTTCTGTGGCAGTTAGCACATCTTACACAGAACTGTGCAGACACATATGTTTTATCTCCTCCACTATTTAAAGTTCCCAAGTCAAGGACTCTCCTTTGTCACACTTGGAATTCTTTTTTCTTTTTATTCTGTGGGAGTACTGGGATTTGAACTTAGGGTTTCACGCTTGTTAGGCAAGCACTCTACAACTTGAGCCATACCTCCAGCCCTTTTTGCTGAGTTAATTTGAGATAGGGTCTTGCTTTCTGCTCAAGCCAACCTGGACCACCAGCCCTCCTAATTTTATGCTTCCTGCTGTTGCTGGAATGATAGATAGACATGTGCCACCATGCCCAGCTTTTTTTGTTCAGATGAGGTCTCACAAACTTTTTTGCCTGGGCTGGCCTGGAACTGTGATCCTCTGAATCTCAGCCTTCCAAGTAAGTAGGATTACAGGTGTGAGCCACAGTCCCAGTCATGGTTGCAATTCTTGAAATTTCTTGCTCTAGCTTTACCCAGACTGGATGCTTAACACAATTTTTCTGAAAGGATGAAAAATTAATGTGAAAGCTTTCATTATATTTTATACAAGTCAGAAGTAATCCATGCTTGTTATTATATTTGCTAACTTTAAACCCCCCAAATTATCTCATTTGTTCTATTATTATTTAATAATTTGATGTATTTTAGAATAGTATTACTTGAATTGGAGTCCTGGATACTTATGTACTTACTAATGGATCTCCTAGGCTCTAAGATATCTTATATGAATTAAAGTTTTTTTAAGATTGGAAAGATAATCCAATATTCTATGAACAAATTTATTTGAGTAATGTTACATTATTTCAGTCTTTCATTAGGGACTACATTGTAGAATACAATCTTGATACCAATGAGAATTATTTTAAACACTGAACAGAAGTGAACTTAGTACACAAAGGATGCATTCATATAAGTGTAGACCAAATATATTGTGAACCACTATAGAAGCGGGCTTATAAAATATTCTACATAGAGAGAAGTGAAGGGAGAACTGAATTACTTGTCTCCACTCAGTTCAGATGTATTCAACCTAAACAAAATGCATGGTACCTGCCAAGATTACATTTCAACTGTGAGCAGTAATTACTTTTAGCAAAACAGTATTATTTTAAATGGGGAACTGCAGGAAATTTGAATTTTATGGTTTTTTTTGTCTGAGAGAAAACTAACTTATAAATTTGTCTTTGAGTTTCATGGTTGAATAAGACCTTATAAATAACCTGATTTTATTTTTTGAACAATTTAATCCAATCTTGCAAGGATTGGTGATTTTTTTAAAAAATGAATTTAATAGGGAGGTCACGATATAGTTGAGTTAGGTATAATGCTTTTTTAATATACACAAGACTCTGGATTCCACCCCTAGCTCTGAAAAAAATTAGATTTTGAGAATGCTATTATAAGAATCATCTAACAATCTATATGGAAGCCAAGTTCAGTTTGGCTTTATTGATATCTTGAAGTTTTTTTGAAGAATAAGTAATATTAAGTCTTTTCCAATAAAAAGTAATACATTTTCTAATCTAAACTTCACAGTGAATTTAACATAAGATTGTCCTGAGGATTTCAGTTAGTCCAGTCAAGTCACAGACTCCCTCTAAGCTAGGGCTGTCAGCAGAGCAGCCATGGCAGTGGTCCTAGACACACAGCTTTCTCCCATCAGATCCTTAATCAGCTCATCTCCTGAGCGAGCTGCATCTTTATAGCTTGTCTTCGGGGACAAGAGCAAATTCACTCAGGGTCTAAGTACATTCAGAGAGGATTAAGGGTAAATGTACCAAACAAACACAAAAGACATGAGAAGTCAGTCATAATCAGACCTATAAAAATAAAAGTGTAATGGCTGTGATACATACCTTATTATATGTAATAATTTTTCACTCATCCTACATATATGTGTTAAATGCTCCCATCATCCATCCATCCATCCATCCATCTATTCAATCTTTATATATTTGGAGGATAAGGGCCTTGTCTTTCTTTTCTTTCTTTCTTTCTTTCTTTTTCTTTCTTCTCTCTCCCTCTCTCTCTCCTCCCCCTCCCTCCCTCCCTCTCTCCTTCTTTTTTTTTTGGCAATACTGAGAATTGAACTCAGACCCTTGTGCTTGCTAGGCAAATATGTAAGCTATGCCTCCCTGTTCTTTTGCTTTTAGTTTGTTTTTCATAGAAGGACTCAAACTTTTACCCAGGTCGGCCTCAGAGGCCATCTCCTGAGTAGCTGCATCACAACATCCAGCTTGGTTTGGAGACTGAATCTCAGTGACTTGCCTAGAGTGGCCTTGCACTGTGATCCTGTCTCTACCTCCCAGGTACCTGGTATGACAGGCATTTGCCACAATCTCTGGGTCTGGAGTAATTTAGAGGGAATCTCATGAAATTTAACTCAGAAAAATGTGGGTATCAACTCTATCATTTCTACTTTCTAGTTATTTTATCCTAAGAAATTTACTCGAACTCATTGTGCTTCAATGCCTCACTCATAAAATAGAAATAATAATATCACTTGGCTAAGAGATCCTTGTGGGGACTCAAGTACCTAATTATACAACAGAACTGGCCCATCAAAAACTCAAATAAAAGGAAGACTTCCAGATTGTTCTTCACTCGGTTGTTTTTATTTCCCCCTCTTCATACATGCTTCCAGACTTTCCACCCTAATATTTCCACATTACAGAAAGAGTAACGGTGAAGTGCACTAAAGGTCCAGCTCAACTAGGCTATTATTATTATGACCGTTTGATAATTCTCTTAGCCTACTATGATTGGTATTGATGGCTAATGGAACCAATTTTTTGCCAGACAAATTTGTGAAGGGAGAAAATACTGTCTTTGTTTTTTATTTTCTGGCTTCATATCAACTTCCCTGGCTGTGTAGGTCCTCACCTACTATCTGCTCAAGATTCCTGCTAGCAAGTCCCTGTCATCTAGGTGGTGCTCCAAAAAGCCTGATAACCCTATCTACTCCTGAGGTCAATGAGCACAGGAAAAGTGCTGTTGTAGCAAAGAGATCACAATACATTTTAATTTTCCATTGCTTACTTTCTCTACTTTCTTTCCCTTCCACATATATAGGGAAGGTTATAAACAGAATTTAGATCTTGAGAAGATTTAAAATGACTCTCTATTATACATAAATCAGCAAATTATTATACATTTTACATAACAGGAAATTAACTTGATCTTCTTCATGGCTGAAAACTTAATACTGCTTAATCTGACATTTTGAAAGTCTCAATTACCTTTTTTTCTGAATTTCAAAAAAATTTTGTAAGTGGTTAGAAATTAAATTAAATTAAGGAGTATGTGTGAAATTTCTACTTACTCTTTTATGAATATTAGGATTAATAATAGTGTTTGCATTGCAATGAAAACCCTTTGTGATTGTTATTATTGAATTATTAGTATTAATATGGTAATGAAACAGTTTCTATCTCATAACATGAATATAAAATAGACTCGTGACTAAGACTCCAAATCATCACATTTGATGACTTAGAACTAATAATCAAGTAGATCTGTCTATAAACTCTTTGGGAGGAAAAAATTAAAATTAATTCTCTGAATCAAATTCATCTTATAACTCCTAAAAAAAGTTATTGGTTACAGGTTAATATGACAATAAATGACTTACAGATACAATCCAGAGAACAGAAGGATAGGTAACAACATTATCACCATATAGGAAAATATTTAAAATTAAAGCGAAGTTTTCTTGAAAGCTTATTCTGGGAAGCCAGAGATGGGGTCAGTGTTCAGAAAAAATTATCAAAGCAGTCTTTGGTAGGTAAGTTAAATTCTAGCAAGTAAGAATTTTTGGTGATACTAGGG